GGGTTTCCCTCTGTACATTTTCTAGGTCAGAAAATTCCCCCCTCCCTTGAAAGGTCTGTTAGTGTGCAGCAATTTTCCAGCTGAATTGCGGGAAAATATCTACCGGGATGAGACGGATAAACTTACCCAAAATTTACCGGTTTCCTGGAGAGATTCTGGGGTCAACGCCCCCGGGGCCGGTCTGTGCCGGGCCTAAAGGTGGTCAGGCCTGCCCAAACCGGGCGCTCTGCTTGCACGAAATCCAACGTACGAGCCACCCCGGCTGGTCAGTACCGCTTTAGTATTTTTAGGTACCTATTTTCATCTTTTTAAACCCGGGGGAGCTGAAAATGTTCCACTTAACTAACACAAAATGGGTCACCCCTCACAACTCAAGAGGGAAAAATCCTGGGAATCCTACCCCAAATGCTTCAAACAGGGATAAATGACATCCCAGCACTCTGCCCCGGGGCCAGACCTTGAACCGTGTTCATCAAAACTGCAAAAAACCCTACCGACCCTTTACCAACCTAGGGAAGGGGCATGGACAGGGGGTCGTCCCACAGTTACTAAAAACAACAGACATAGCCCCACCCACAAAGGGGCAGAAAAGCAACAGAAAAAGAACTACGACCGTAGCCAAACATCCCATATCAAAAAAATTTTAAAGGGGTCCTAAGAAGAAAGTCCCCCCCATCTAAAAAACCCATCATTTACAAAACCCCAGGCAACATGGGTTTGAACGGGTCCCCTCCTTCTGTCTAAAACTATTGGTCACACGAAAGGCCTTGATGCACTGAAGACAAAAGAATGCAGAGTAATATATACAGATTTTGAAAAGCCTTCAAAAAAAGGGGGGGGGTGGACCATGACGTAAAGCGCCAAAATGGTGCTAAAGGAATAACGAAAAGTCGGTCGATGGATCTAAATTTCTTCCAACAAACAAAAAGAGTAATATCAACAGAGTAAAGTCCAGGCACCCGGGTGAAAAGCTTGTTCACAAGGCACAGTCTCGCCCCCATCTTTTTCCTCATCCTCATATCTGACATAGAAAAGGGATGTCAGCCACGCCCAGTCTTCCTTTTGCAGATACACCCGAACTGCATGCAGTGCTTCCTTTGCGACACTGCAAGGTCCGGCGGACTAACCCAAATCTTTCAGTCTTCAGAAAAAAATATGAATTTCAACGATGAAAAATTTCAATTCTCAGATAGGTAAACACGGGGAAATTAAATTTCATCAAGTACAAAAAATTCTTTCCCACAAAATAGGCGTAACACCAACGTCAAAGCCCTGGGATGATCATGGGGAGGAT